CACACTGCTATTCAGTCTTCATGGTACTTAACCTCAACAGACTAGCTTTGTTCCTCAGATGAGGCCCTGAATCTCAAATTTACCTGAGGTTATAAATTTGTAATTAAATAGGTATGGTGGCTCCACTCTCAAATCCCAGAAGTCGGGGCCTGAGGTCAGGGAACTGCTGTAAATTCCAGGTCAGCACTAACTACATAGTGAACTTCAGTTTAGCCTGACCTACAAAGTGAAAACTCAAAAAAAAAAATTAACCTCAGCACTTGGGAGGCAGAGGCAGACAGATCTGTTTGAGTTTGAAGCCAGCCAGTTCTAAATAGTGAGTTCCAGAACAACCAAGGTTGTAAGAATTTGTCTTTGGAGCCGGGCGTTGGTGGCGCACACCTTTAATCCCAGCACTCGGGAGGCAGAGGCAGGCGGATCTCTGTGAGTTCGAGGCCAGCCTGGTCTACAGAGCGAGTTCCAGGACAGCTTCCAAAACAATACAGAGAAACCCTGTCTCGAAAAACCAAAAAAAAAAAAAAAAAAAAAAAAAAAAGAATTTGTCTTTGGAGAAAAAAAAAAGCCAGTAGCGGTGACACATGTCTTTAATCTCAGCACTTGGAGGCAGAGGCAGGCACATCTCTGAGTTCCAGGACAGCCTAGTCCACAAATCAAGTTCTAGGACAGCCAGGGCTTACACAGCAAAACCATGTCTGGAAAAACAAAAACCAGCCAGGCGTTGGTGGCACACGCCTTTAATCTCAGCACTTGGGAGGCAGAGCCACAGAGAAACCCTGTCTCGAAAAAAACCAAAAAACAAAACCAACCAAACAAACAAAAATCCCCCAAAGTGAAAAAAAAACGACAGGGCTGAATGTATAGCAGAGCCAATAGAGCCAAGGTTGTGGAAGGCTCAGGGTTCGATTTCTGGTGCCCACACATACACAAAATGACAACTGGGCTGAAGACTTGGTTCTGCAGTTAAGAGCACTTGTTTTTTTTTTTTTTTCCAGACAGGGTTTCTCTGTATTGTTTTGGAGCCTGTCCTGGAACTTGCTCAGTAGACCAGGCTGGCCTGGAACTCACAGAGAATGCCTGCCTGTGCCTCCTGAGTGCTGAGATTAAAGGCGTGTGCCACCAACGCCCAGCTGAGCACTTGTTTTTGTAGAAGACCAAGGATCAGTTTTCAGAACCTACTAGGTGGCTTACAGATAGTAACTCAGCTATTGTAATTCAGTTCCAAAGGACCCAAAGTCTCTTTGGACCTCTGAGGGCATCAGGCACGCATGGTGCACATGCGTGCATGTAGGCAAAATACTCATGCACATAAAAAGAAAATAAATAAAGCTAAAAACAGTTTAAAAATGTTTAAAACCACACTGGGCGTTGGTGGCACAAAAAAAAAAAAAGTTTAAAACCAAGTGCAGCCAGCACTTTACCCATTGAGCAATTCTCCAGTCCAATTAGTTTATAAGTGATGAAAGGAAAAAAAAAAGCACCAAATTTTCAGTATAAGTAACTATATAGCTGAGAAATTCTACTTTGCCATTTAAATAGAATGCCTATTATTATTTTAAATCAATTTATTTTTATTTTATGTGTTTTGCCTGCATGTATGTCTGTGTGATGGTGTCAGGTTCCATGGAACTGGAGTTGTGAGACACTATGTGGGTGCTGGGAATTGAGCTCAGGACCTCTTAACCGCTGAACTATCTCTCCAGCCCCTAGAATGACTATTATCAAAACACACCATCAATATGAAAATTGTAAAAATTATAGCATCAGCTGGTTATGGTGTTGCACATTGTAGTCCTAGCACTTACTAGGCTGAGGCAGGAGAATGACAAGTTTGAGGATAGCTGGGACTATAAAGCAAGAGTGTTTCAAAGAAAAAAAATTGTAGTATAGTAAAAATAAAACACATACTAGAACTATAATACATGTAGGAATTATTTAATATACATAATAATTTTTAAATTATTCCTTTCTAGTCAGAACCAGTGTTTATGAATTTCAACATCCTAGCTAAGAAGGATGGATGTATTTGTGTAGGCAGCAACAAAGAAAATCTGTTGATACAGTGCATGTATGAGTGTGCACATGTATACATATATATTACTTTCAGCTAATGTTGGGTTTATATATGGTAACTTCTCAATTCTATACTGAGAATCAGGTTGAACAAATATGAATATTTGGGGAAGCACAATAGGATATTTGGAATAAAATAGTATTATATTAATAGTATTATTAATATATTCATATTATTATGGTATTATTAGTATTATATTAATTGTGTATGGTCAGGCAGGTGCATAGATTAAGAGACTATCCTAGTATTTAGTGAAATACTCCATGTCAACTTAAAATCTGTTATTTACAATACCAACATTTCAAATGATATACTCAAGATTTTACTATTTATTTATTTATTTATTTATTTATAGAGAGACAGGGTTTCTCTGTGTAACAGTTTTGGCTGTCCTGAAACTCACTTTGTAGACCAGATTTGCCTCAAACTCACTGAGATCTGCCTGCCTCTGTCTCCCAAGTATTGGAATTAAATGTGTGTGCCACCACCACTCAGCCTTACTGATTTATTTATATACATAAGCATGCCATGGTGTACATGTGGGAGACATAGGACAACTATAAAGAGCCAGTTTTCTCTACCAAGTAGGTCCTGGGATCAAATTCAGGTCATCAGGTTTAGCGACTTTACCTTCTGGGCCATCTCAACAAGCCTACTCAGTGCTTTTTAAAAAGAGACTAACTTGGGGCTTAGTTCAGCCATGCTATGTATTTGGAAAAAGAGACTGTATATTTTTGTATTTTTAAACAAAGACTTAATAGTTTAGTTAAAAAAGAATTCATTTCTGGGACAAACCATAGGCAGTTAGTCAAGACTGACCTCATATGCATTAGCAGTCTGATATTTAACCAAATAAGCATACTTTGCATTATCAGAAAGACAACTTTCCACAGAGAGGGAAGACTCTTTGATGGTCTGTCTGATCAGTTGCCTAAGTTAACAGTCACAGAAATGATACTGCTTTGCTACTCTTATCTCCACTGGTGGCCTATTAGCAACCTCTGTCGCTGCCCCACACTTGCTGGTGTCCGTACGTGTGTGTGTGTGTGTGTGTGTGTGTGTGTGTGTGTGTGTGTGTGTGTGTCCCGTTTCACTGGCCTACACTTGCTGGTGTCCGTGTCCGTGTCCGTGTCCGTGTGTGTGTGTGTGTGTGTGTGTGTGTGTGTGTGTGTGTGTGTGTGTGTGTGTCGTTTCATTGGCTGATTGCCAGTTCCTAACATTCTCCTATCTTTCATTAAGTCTTTTGATTTGAAACATGCTAACTTGAAATGAAGACTTTTCTTTTTCTGACTTGTTTCAGATCCCACTCACTGAAGCCTGATTATGTAGCTTGTGTTTGTAACACTTTTACCATCTTCCCCTTCCTGGCTCCAGGGAACTGAGTTACTACTTCTGTGATTGCTGACTGGCGAGGTTATTTTGGACCATGAAGGCTGCTGGGGTCAGGGTTAGAGGGGAGAAGTAGCTGAAATCGGTTTCAGTGGGTGACTCACATCTTTTTTTTTAAAGATTTATTTATTCCTGTGTTTTATGTATATGAGTGCTCTGTCTTCATGCGCACCAGAAAGAATCGGATCTCATTACAGATGGCTGAGCCATCATGTTGTCGCTGGGAATAGAACTCAGGACATTTGGAAGAGCAGTCAAGTGCTCTTAACCACTGAGCCATCCTACATGCATGCAAATTGTTTTGCTTGTTTTTTTTTTTTTTTCGAGACAGGTTTCTCTGTATTGCTTTGGAGCCTGTTCTGAAACTAGATCTGTAGACCAGGCTGACCTCTAACTCACAGAGATGCCCCTGTCTCTACCTTCCGAGTGTTGGGATTAAAGGCGTGTGCCACCACCGCCTGGCTACATTGCAAACTGTTATCAGGAACCTAATTAATGTGTGTTCCCAACTTTTTGTGTAAATCATTTGAAATAACTGAAAACATACCAATAGTGTTGTGGGAGACACTATCTCTTTTTAGTCTTGGTTCCATATTTTAAAAATTATGCTGTCGGCATTTTGAATTAAGTTTGAGAAAGGTGATTTTTCTTCCTTTATATTTAAAAAAACAAACTGGCTCTATGTTTCAGATCATTGGCAGTCTGAAGATTACCATAACCGAAAACAATTTTGCCAGATCACTGTGAAAGTTATAGCTTCCAAAAAGGAGAAGTGTGTCTAAAATAACAGCATATTTTGGTTAGTTATCAACTATGCATTTTAGAACCAAAGCATGTTCAATAAAAGGAGGGGATAGGTGCACACCTAACAGAAAAGGTATAGAAAAGTCATTATCAATCTGGAGTAGCCAATTCTTCCACTCAGAGCCAACCAAGATACACCACACACCATAGTGGGTTGTATGTGTGTGTGTTTTAAATTTGCTGCAGGTTGGGATCGAATCCAGGGCTTCCTGCATACCACAGCAGGTGCTCCAATTCTATGTTATGTCTCCAGCCCACAGTCATATATTTTAATGAAGATTCCCCCTCACTCCCCCCCCTCCCCAAGACAGGGTTTCTCTATGTTACAGTCCTGGACTCACTTTGTAGACCAGGCTGGCCTCAAACTCACAGAGATTTGCCTGCCTCTGCACTGAGTGCTGGAATTAAAGGCGTGTGCCACCATTGCCCAACAAGTTACCCTTTCTTTCTTTCCTTTTTTTTTTTTTTTTTTTTGGTTTTTCAAGACAGGGTTTCTCTGTGGCTTTGGAGGCTATCCTGGAACTAGCTCTTGTAGACCAGGCTGGTCTCGAACTCACAGAGATGAGATCCACCTACCTTTGCCTCCCATGTGTTGGGATTAAAGGTGTACCACCACCGCCTGGCATCAAATTCCCCTTTCTTATATTTTTGGTTGTGAGCTTAGCCTTTAATAGGCTGAGCCATCTCTACAGTCCAAGTTCCCCTTTCTTAAAGCATTCCAAGAATCAGATGAAAATGGGCTAAAGTCATCTTTATTAAATATTTGCAGATAGAAAGCCTTGGCATCAGAGAATGCCTTATTTTGGTAGCATGAAGGCCCTAAGAGGAGTTAGGCCATGATTCACTTCCAGCCAGATACTTCTCACTTTGGCTGTGTAACATTTTGGTTCTTCTGCTGTTTTTTCCATGCATGTCTTTAGATTCCATGTCATAGGTTTGCTTTAGAACATTGCTTTTCCTTTAGAATAAGCCAATGGAAGGGGAGACCAAAAGGAAATTAATTTTATAGCAACAAGAAAAAAGAATCTTACTTGAAACTGTATAATAATTTTTTTCTCAAGGTTTTGGTACATAAATTCAAGACATTTTCACAGAATGTACTGCTCTCTTCAGGGTTAAAGTGAAACTTCCCATTCAGATAAACGTAGAGGATGTTTTTAAAGAAAACAAAGAAGCAGGACTAGTAAACGTTCATCTACTAGTGGTTTTCCCTTAGGCACTGAGGCTGTCACCATAGGGAAGGGCAGAAGGAGAGGACTGCAAACTTCATAAGCATTCTTCAGTAGCTACTTCCTTTTCTTCAGCAAGTCTGGCAATTAGATCTTTCCATTCTCCCCTCTTCTTTGTGATGTATGTTGGGGTCAGTAGCTGCAGAAGGAGAGGACTGCAAACTTCATAAGCACTCTGCAGTAGCTACTTCTTTTTTTTCAGCAAGTCTGGCAATTAGATCTTTCCATTCTCCCCTCTTCTTTGTGATGTATGTTGGGGTCAGTAGCTGCAGTAGAGACTCTGGCTGTTGTCTAAAGAAGTTCTGACACAAGGCCTCAGTGTTACATATCACGTACATCCCACAGTCATAGCTGTTTTGTTGAGCTGGGGCTTTCTCTTCCACAAAGACCAGTTTGTCTCCTTTGCTCCCTAAGAAAGCCTTCAGTTTCTCTGCTACCTGCTTTGCATGGATTGAGTTGCTTCTGCTATGGGAATCATAATGAAAGAAGCTATTTTCATCCTGGAGATAAACCAACAAACTCCAGTGGGTACCCCCAGCTGACTGGTTAGAATTATCATTGATGGCTAAAAATAAAATTTTCTTGTGGGCAAGATCCAGGGGTTCAAGGAACATGGCAATCTCTGCAGGGCTGCTGGTGCACTTAATGAATTGGGTGACTTCGGGGCTGATGAAGCAGACACGGTCCGAGCAATCATGAAACTGACTATTGGCAAAGTATTCAAAGGCAAAACCAATAATATGGTCATTGAGCCAGCTTGGAGGATCCAATAGTGAGACATCCGACTGTCGCAGTAGACTGTCCATATAACTCAAGACTACAGGATCCATCTTGTATTGAGAAGGGCTTCTCAGAAATCCCAGAAGCTGAAGGAGAGTCAGAAGACAATATTTACTGTTGAATATGATATTAGGTTATAAAACAGTAGCTACTCTTACAGGATTACTGTAAAGATGACATATAATTATAAAGTCTTTATCAATAATTTCCAACGATGCTGACATAAGAAAACACTAAAGCTGGACAGTGGTGCACACCTTTAATCACAGCACTTTAATCACAGAGGCAGGAGTTTGAGGCCAGCCTGGTCTATACAGTGAGTCCCAGGACAGCCAGGGATATGCAGAGGAGCCCTGTCCTAAAAAACCAACCTAACTAATTAACTGACCAACTAAATTAATTCAAAAACATTAAAGAAACTTTAGCTTATATACTGGATATGAACAATTAGAATGAAAATGAAAAATCTCAGAGACAGTATAGAATTTTAGTTTTATATCTAAATGTAGAGATTGGTTAAAATTATAGCTGATATTTTGCCAAAAACCACGGCAGTAAACACATTCTAACTCTAATGAATATGTAGTCAGGTGTGGGGTGCATGCTTGTAATCCCTACACATGGGAGGGAGAAGCAGGAGGATCAGGAGCTCATGGTCAGTCTTAGCTACACAGTGAGTCTGAGGTCTGCTTGAGCCACCTGAGACTCTGTCTTAATATGATAGTGAATGGCCGGGCGTTGGTGGTGCACGCCTTTAATCCCAGCACTCAGGAGGCAGAGGCAGGCGGATCTCTGTGAGTTGGAGGCCGGGCTGGACCGACAGCCTCCAAAACAAAACAGAAACCCTGTCTCGTAAAACCAAAAAAAAAAAAATTTCTTCCTCTTTCCATAATAGAAAGTGATAATAGTGATAACTGTAGTTAAAAAGTATGGGAATTTCAAGAACAGAAAATTATGCAGATAAAATAATGCAAAATGAAACCCATTCCTCAATCTTCCCAGTTTTATGCATGGACGATGTTTTTGCTTATTTCACATCTCTCAACTTCAATATGTGGGATAAAGACTAAGTAGTGTAATGCTTATGATGTCTACCAGAAGTTCTTTTGACATTTTGATACATACTGGCATAGGCATCAGGGTTCCTGGCTTGAGCCTTAGTTTTAGCACTGATTTGCTTAAACTTTAATCCCAGCACTCAGGAAGCAGAGGCAGGCAGATCTCTGTGAGTTCCAGGCCAGTCTGGTCTACAGCACTAGTTCCAGGACAGCTAGAGCTGTTATACAGAGAAAGTCTGTCTTGAAAAACAAAAGCCAGGCATTGGTGGCACACACCTTTAATCCCAGCACTCGGGAGGCAGAGGCAGGTGAATCTTTGTGAGTTCAAGGCCAGCCTGGTCTACAGAGTGAGTTCCAGGACAGCCTCCAAAGTCACAGAGAAACCCTGTCTCGAAAAACAAACAAACAAACAAACAAACAAACAAACAAACAAAGCATTACATAGCTCTGCAGGTTGGCAAATCTTGGTTGGCCCGGAACTTCCTATGTAGACCAGGTTTGCTTTGAACTCAAAACAAATTCATCTGCCTATGCCTCCTCAGTGTTAGAATTAAAGGTGTGCATCAAGTAAGCCCAGAATTTAAAGAGTTAAAAAGTTGTATACATAATATTCACACTATCAACTAGATGATACTATAGTTACAATGAGAAAATCTGGCTAGCACTACAAACCAATTATAGTAAATGAAGGCTAGAAACAAAACACTCATTCACAATCACTTGTTTAAATAACAGGTTGGCTAACTTGGGGGAAACACAGAGAAGGTGTCTCATGGGATTAATATGCTTGTGAACAATCACGGCTGTGTAACAGGTAAAGTTGCATGTACAAGATGACTTACTTGAACCTACAGACTCAACTGGGGTAACAGTTAACTGCTGTGCACTAGCCTGACCTCAGCAGAACTAAAACCACAGATCAGGAAGAGGACCACAGGCAGATTGAAGGACTGTAACGAAGCATAATATAAGAACACAGAATGATGGCACAAATTTAACCACTCCTAACTATTAGATCGATTATTTTTATTGTTTGGTTATACTACAAAGTCATACAAATTTGATATAACTAATTTCATGTAATCAAACAACACAAAACTGTACACAAAGTTGGGCATGGTGGTGCACATCTTTAATCGCAGCAAACCAAACCAAACTCATAAAAAACTGTACACAAAAAAAATACCTTTCAGGCTGGAGAGATGGCTCAGAGGTTAAGAGCACTGCATGTTCTTCCAGAGGTCCTGAGTTCAATTCTCAGCAACCACATGATGGTTCACAAACATCTATAATGAGGTCTGATGCCTTTTCCTGGGGTACAAGCATGTACACAGATAAAAAAACTGTATGTGTAATAAATAAATAATTTAAAAAATACCTTTCAAGAAAAAAATGTTAAAGTAAAATGAGGTGACTAACTATGTGTACAAGGCAGTTTTATATAGACACCATGTGATAATCTGAATGACTTAAAAAAACAGTATAAGGCTGCTTAGGAGAAACTACATGTATTTTTGTATGCACAGAATGCTATGAATTAAAAGATTAAAAATATATTGTGAGACCAAGGCTCTCTTCCTAATTAGCTCTGGGTGGAACTTGCTATGTAGATCAGGCTGGCCTGAAATGTATGGCAATCCTCCTAGGTTTTACTAAGACAGAATAACATTGCTAGAAGAGCAGCTTGGTGGCAGTGCAAGAGAACGGGTGGGGAGGGTGGGGGATGGGGGGAGGGTGGTGCCAGAATAACTAGAGTTCAGACAAACTTGAATCAGGAGTGAAGTTAACGAGGCATAGAGCACATTGGCTATGCGTGAGCCACAAACTTGGCTCTAAGCTTTTTGAAAGCTAACAAGAGTTAAGTTAAATATTCACAAAGTCCATAAAGTAAAAAGAAAATGCTTACTCAGGAGAGGTAACATCATTCTTTGTATTAACATTTAATAGTTTGTTATTTTTGTTGTTTTGTGTTTTGAGTCAGGGTATAACACCGTGACCCAGTATGACCTGAAACTTGCTATGTAGCCCAGGCTGGCTTCAAACTCACAGCAATTCTGTCTTAGCCACCCATGAGTTGGGATTATTAGCATGAGCTACCATTTCAGGATTCTGATAGGTTTTTTTTTTTTTGTTTTGTTTTGTTTTTTGAGACAGGGTTTCTCTGTAGGTTTGGAGACTGTTCTGGAACTCTCTTTGAAGACCAGACTGGCCTTGAACTTACAGAGATCAGCCTGCCTCTGCCTCACCAGTGCTGGGATTAAAGGCGTGCGCCACCACTGCTCAGGGATAGTTTTTTTCCCCTAAGAGTTTCTCATGAAAGAAAACATGATACACCACAATTTTTATGTTCCACATCATCTTTATGTTCAAATAAAATTGTTTAAAAAATGATTGTTTTTGTTTTTTACGAGACAGGGTTTCTCTGTATTGTTTTCTAGGCTGTCCGTCCAGCCCAGCCTCGAACTCAGAGATCCGCCTGCCTCTGCCTCCCGAGTGCTGGAATTAAAGGCGTGCACCACCACCGCCTGGCAAAAAATGATTATTTTAATATTAAGCTTGAGCCTTTAATTCCAGCACTTGGGAGGCAGAGGCAGGCAAATCTCTATGAGTTTGAGGCCATCTTGGTTTACATAAGCAACTGGCTCACAACCATCTGTAATGAGATCTGATGCCCTCTTCTGATGTGCATGAAGGCAGAACACACGCATGCACACACGCACGCACAAATAAATATTTTTTAAAAAAGGGGCTGGGTGGTGGTGGTGCATGCCTTTAATCCCAGCACTCAAAAACAGAGCAGGAGGATCTCTGTGAGTTTGAGGCCAGCCTGGTCTACAGAGTGAGTACCAGGATAGACTCCAAAGCTACACAGAGAAACCCTGTTTCGAAAAAACAAAAAGCAAAACAAAAAAAGGAGTATCTTACTATAAAGGGGAACGGCTAGTCACATGTGTCAAGCCAGGCTTCTGGACCATACCTCCCTTTATACTAGCCTGTGGGTTGCAACCACTTTGGGGGATCACATATTAGATATTGTGTATATCAGATATTTACATTATAATTTATAACAGTAGCAAATTATAGTTATGAAGTAGCAATGAAATAATTTTATGGCTTGGGGTCACCACAACATGAGGAACTGTATTAAAGGGTTGTAGCATTAGGAAGGTTGAGAACCACTGGTTTTAACACCAATAACTACAGCATAGGGGTGAATGTCAGGATATATAACTTGGTAAATACCTGAGCTGTCTAGCTGTTACTTATCCATGACCCCCAGTTAATTGCCAGCTAGGGACAGAAGTCTGCAAGAAACGTACCTCAATAGACAGTTTGCCTCACATTGAAGGAAGAGACTACAAGACTCTACATGGTGTTCAGTCTGTCACCACTTATCACCTAACCATCTTCTAACCTGTGTTTATACTCCATCTAGTTCCACTTTACTGCAGTCACACTTAAGAGTTTGGATACTTAAGAAACTTATTCTTACTTAGTTTTTTTTTTTTTTTCTTTTCGAGACAGAGTTTCTCTGTTTTGTTTTGGAGGCTGTCCTGGAACTTGCTCTGTAGACCAGGCTGGCCTCGAACTCACAGAGATCCCCATGCCTCTGCCTCCTGAGTACTGGGATTAAAGGTGTGCACTACCAACACCTGGCTACTTACTTGTTTGTTGAGGCAAGGTTTCATGTAGCCCAAGATGGCCCCAAACTTAGGTTGATCCTCCTGCCTTAGCCTTCTGAGTAATGGTATTACAAGCATGAGCTACCATACCCAGTGAGCTCACATTTTACTCAAATAGTTTTTGTGGTCTGGGGATTGTTCAGGGGCAGAATGTTTGCCTAGCATGTACACAGTCCTGAATGTGATCCCCAACACCCCAAAATGTGGGGAAAGTTTTGTGTTTTGTCTGAGTTTTAAAACACCCAGTATGGCCGGGCGTTGGTGGCGCACGCCTTTAATCCCAGCACTCGGGAGGCAGAGGCAGACGGATCTCTGTGAGTTCGAGGCCAGCTTGGTCTACAGAGT